CGCTGCCGGGGCGGAGCGCTCGCCGACCAACCCGCGCGCCGCGCCGCGAATATTCATTTTCCTGCCCTCCTGCTATTAGGCGGCCGGCGGCCTTCGTCTGCATATTCATAAGGCGCCGGCCCAATAGGCGGCGGGAGCGGGCGCAGCAGGCTTGGTTGAGAGGCGAGGGGACGGCGGCGCGCTGCGGCGGGAGGCGTGCCCGGCGGGAGCGGGCCGGCCCGGAACGGAGCCGGGGAGTCGGTCCCTGCGAGCCGGGAGTGCCCAGGGCCGGTACCGCCCGCTCGGGGAGGGGAGCGAGGGTAGAACCGGCTCCCTCAGGAAGGAGCGGCGAGGAGGGACGAGGCTTCCCAGCGGCGTGTCCGGAACGGGGACGCAACCCGGCGAGCTCCCCCTCAGCGCCGGACGCCTGAGGGAAGAGCCCCGCCCCCTCCGCCCCTCCAATCAGGGAGCTCCAGCGCGGCCGGAACGCAAAGCACTGTGGGACGGCGGCGGGAAGCGGGGAGGCCGGCGGGTTGCCGAGGCGACGGGCGCCGTTGCGGCAGGACGGAGCGGGCCGGGACCGGGCCGGGACCGACGGGCAGCGAGAGGGAGGGAGGGAGGGAGGCGGAGGGGGGCCGCGGCGAGCTTGGGGAAGCGGCTGGGAGCGGAGTTGGGGGAGCGGGAGCTCCGCTGCCGTCGGGGGCGACTCCTCGTTACATCCCGGTAGTTTGGTGTCCGCTGCACTCTGAACAGCAACTCCCGGTACCGATTGTCTGCCTCGGCAAAACACGCTGGTTTCCCCGTTGGAACCTGCCGTGGAGGGTGGGAAAAGGCAGCTACCGGCCCGCCCGGTAAGGAGCGAGACAGCTGGGTGGTGCGCAGCCACTTTGGACCACAACAATCGGCTTGAAAAGTAAAACAGCCAATAAAAGAGGCGCGGGGGAGAGCTAACCGTTACATTGCCCGTGACTTTTCTCCCTGTGTTGCATTTTACAGGAGAATGTAAGATCCTGGGGTTTTTTTCTGGAGGACTTTGGCGAGGTCTTGGGAGGGCTGGAGTTGAGACATCACAGATGGAGATTGGATGAGACTCGCTCGCTACGCAGTGGGGGAGCAAGTAACTTAATGTTTGCCTCCGTGTTTGTCCTTCTGTCTGATCCCAGTGTTCCTCAAAGCTTCAGACACCAGCCAGACCTCGTGTCTGTGTTGCAGTTGCCAACCGCATTAGCAGCGGCTGCTCCTAAGTCCCAATGACACTTTATTAATTTGAGACTTCCACAAAGCATTTGCTTTTAGCAAATGGGTTTGTTGCTTTTGTAATGCGCTTATGAGGCCTCTTAACAGGACACAGCGTCGGAGAAGTGAGCTCAGTTTGGTGGGGGGTGTAACCACCCACCTCCTGTTCCCTAACCTGCTCTGCCCACGTCGGAGTGGGCCCAGACTGCATCCTTGCTGCTGTCACATCGGCTCTCAGGCTCGTGGTATAACTGGGGCAGGGCAGACATGGCACTGCTGCGTTCCCACGCCAGCACTGCTGCCAGGAAAGGCTTCCTGAAACTGCAAGGTGGCTTAGGAAACCGCATCCAGAAAAAAAGTGTGAAACACACACACTTCGCACCTCTCCAGATTAAGCCACCTCACGCTGGTTCCTGGCAAATCATCTCAGCCTTACAGACCCCAGCCCTGGCAGCATCTGATCAAATCCAGGCTAATCTCCCGTTTCCCTGCTGTGTTTGTGACCTGTTGGGTGTCCCCCACGGTTGGTTAGCGAAGGAGTGCAAGCAGCCATGGCCAGAACAACGCTGTCCAGTTGGCGAGGCCAAGGGAGGCCTCGTTAGAGCTCATTTGTACTGATTACAGACAATCCTCCCTAATCTCTCCAGATTTCTCAGCTTAAACTGCGATGTGCTTGGGTCAGGAGCACAACTTCAAAGCACGTAAACGCTTGGTGTGTCACCAGGTTACTGCCATGAGCTGCAAAAGTGAAGTGGGAAGAGGGATGTTGTGAATCATCAGCAGGCCAAGGAGACAGCTGGGGCTGAGGTTACAAACAGCAATGTCCATGGGTGCAAATCCTCTTATTTCCAGTCCTGAGACCCACCAGGGCAGCAAAGGTCCCACTGAGGGCACACACAGCCCCTTGCGTGGCCCAGGTGGGCTGAGGCAGCTGGCACTGTTGGCCCCTGGGTCAGCAGGGCTTTCACAGGTCACATACACACACAGAATGGCAGCGTTGGCTGGGCAGAGCCTGGCTGAAACCCTGTTGTGCTTTTCAGTGAGCTGGGGAGCGTGAGTCTTGTGGCAGGACCTTCGCTGCCTCGGTGGGTGCGGGGGCCGTGCAGACGGTGACTGGGGCTTCACCACAAACCCAGCATCAAACTGCTCAGCCCAGACCAAACGTGCCCATGAGCAGGAATTCAGACATGAAGGGATTTACTAGCTAACATTTAGGTATGACCAAGACAGGTCCCTCAGCTGAAGGGGTCTCTTTGGCCGCAGACATGTACAAGGGCAGCTGGGAGCTAACTCAGCTCATCCCCTGCCTTGGGAGTGTCACCAGGGCCTTTTGTGGCTGTGCCAAGCCTGGGGTCCCTGTCGAGGGCTCCCAGGGCTCCTGCACATCTCACAGTGAAATATCAGCAACTCTTCCTTGAAAAGAGAAGAGTTTCCCCGAAAAGGAAGAGTTCCCCTCCTTGAACAGAGGCGAAAAACCCTCTCTTTCCCCTCCGTCCGAGGACTCAGCCTTTTTAGAAGGCAAGGCACTGAGCATTGCAATACCTCCTCTGCCTCCCCCATCAGAGAATCTTCTAATAACTAGCCTGGATGATTATTTCCCAAGAATCAGCAGCCCATCGTGAAGCAAGAAGGATTAACTGAGCAGCAGCGAGTGAGGAAGGGATAGTGGCTGTGCTCATCCGAGTGTAGGAGGAGCACTCGCCCTGGCTCACAGTCTGGCCATGGCTGCTGGCAGAGAATGGCGGACGTACTGCGATGGCCTGCATCCGCGATGTCCTACCCTGCCGCCCCTGAATCGTTACTTGCGGTCACCAGCAGCTTGATGCCAGCTTGTGCCCCAGATGTCAAAGGCTCTGTGTGCTGTTACTAATCCACCGAGCCATCAGTCCCTTGATGCAGCCTGGATTTACACCAGTAACCTACAAGTGAAAGGCTCAGGGTTGTCTTCTCAATCCCTTGATCTCTCCCTGTCCCCTGGCAGCTGTGCCAAGATGTGTCTCAGTCTTGAATCAGTCGTGCCTGGTCTACCTACAACCCCGATCATTCCCAAGTGGTGTGGGGCACGTGTTTTGGGTATTAGCCGTTTCCTACAGGAAAAAGGGATCGGGATTTGGGATGTCCAAAAAGAGCAACAGAGACATGTGGGTCAGAAGCAGACCTCATGGCTAACGAGACATCGAAGAAGTCAACGTGAGCCAGCCTCACTGCCTGGGCCAGCTCCTGAACAACACGGGGCTACGGGTCTCAGGTGCCCAGAGGGGAATGGCTCTGCCCTGCCATGTGGAGCTATTTGGAAGCCTCCCTGGTACTGTATTGGAGAGGAGAGCAAAAGGATTATCTCTGGAATTAGATTATTTAGATTGGAGCTTTAATCTCTGACCCTGTCTGCACAAGAAAATAGTAAAACTCCCTGAGATTATTTGGGGTTTGTTGTGCAAGTAAAACCAGGCTTGCAGCAAGAGCTTCTGCTGGAAGGAAAAAAAATGAATGCTTTGGAGACCTGCCCTGTCTGACTTGTTCACTGTATCATGGTGAGACCTGGCAGAAATGAGCTACAGATGATTTGGCAGAGAGCCAGCTTTCCTCAGAAGTAGCTGTGGCTCCAGGACTGCATCTGCAATGCCACAAAGGTGTCCTGCAGCCACCCGTCCCCTAGCACCCGTGTCCCTGTGTTTCTTGGGAAGAAAAACACAGCTCTGCCATGGAACAAACACAGAGACCTGCCTAAGTGAAAATGGCAGTAGTTCACAGAGAACATCCCATCCCCAGCCACTGTGATGCTGCATTGTGGATCAGTGCAGCCTCTAGAAATGGGTTTACAATTTTAAATAAATTAAGACTGTGTCCTGCCATCTGCTGCTGTGGGCAAAAGATGGGTCTGCTCGGTGCAGGACCCGGGAAGGAGCAGGCAGAGGCAGCCACCGTGCTTGTTGCCACTGACTGTCATTCGGGCTTGTGTGTGCTGGCTATGGCACAAGGCACGTGCCCTGAGTCGTCACCGGCCCCCACAGTCACTCTGCTGCACACAGGCAAGCAGCACAGCCATCCTCTTGCTCTGCATACACAAGCACGCTTCTTCCTCAGCGGGCTTCACTGTAAGTGAAGCACATTTGTGTATCAACACTCCCTATGGCAGACACAAGCCTGCACAGGTCTCTCCCTCCCCATTATTATCCTAAGTACATATATAACTTAACAGGACTCTGGACTCTGTTCAGTTTATCACCCCCATCTCCTAAGCACAATACAGCTACTGTAACCCATAAATATGGAGATCTGTAAATACCCGTTTTCCAATATCTTGGCTCACACCCACATTTCTAACACTGGACCAGCTCCATAGATACACACACATAGTTTGCATACACCCACTTGCAAACAAACTCTTCTACTGCTGCACTCCCAGGTACCTATCTGCAGTTCCTGCTTTTGCGTGCACACATGCAAACCTTTCCCAGTGCACACGCCTATTCAAACATGAGTACACACACACAAAAATATGAGGAGAAACACAGTTTTCCCATTGCTGGGATATCAGCCATCGCTGAAGCTATGCTGGTTGGCACAGCAACAGGAAAGCAGAAGAGAAAACCCTCCTTTGGGACACAGATTTGTGGACCCCAAGAATCTGAAAGGGAACCTGGGAAGTGAAAGATTTGAGATGGAGGAAGCAGGACGATATTGGTCCTTAACCTCCCAGTTGGAGTAAGGGGGCAACTGAGAGGAAAACAGCTCCCAGTCACACCGAGAAATACACAGCAATGATGATGCCATTCGAAACCAAGCAGACATTAGTCCCGGCAACTTGTGATTGAGCCTCTGCATAGAGAAAGGGGACATCTGTAGGTCTGGCAGGGTAGAGGAAGGGAGCGGGAAGTCAGGAGCATCTTGGGGAAAGGGGAAGGAGGATGAGCATCTGACGTGTCTGGAAGAAGCTGGTAGGGCCCGGAGGCTGCTCTCGTGGTCACCGCTGCAGACACGTGCAGCATTTTTGAGTGTGAACAAGCTGGAGAGCAGGGCACTGCCACACAAAGAGGCTCCCAGGCAATCCCCGGCACCAACGGTGTTACAGCCCAGCTCCCGCAGCACGGCCCCCACAGTCCATACGCTCACAGTTGTGTTTGAAATGGTCTGAAAAAGGGGGGGGGGGGGTGGCTACTGCTGCCTATCCCCCTCTCACCCAGCTCCCCTCTGTGCCCTTTCTCCCATTGCTCCTTGCCGCGGCGCCCCAGGGGCTCTCACCTGCCCCCTCGCAAGAGGAGGGGATGCAGGGATGGGGACCCTCCACACTGCCCTCACCATGAGGCACCTCCAGGCCCCTTGGATGTGGGGACAGCGGGAGGGAGAGCAGAGCCCTGACACAGGCTTAGTGCCTGGCAGTGACTCCCCTTTCTGAGGCGAGGACTCACCTCCGGACCCTGGTGCAGATGCTGGCGTGTGCATCTGCTGAAGCCCTTCTCCCCCAGCCCAGCCACCACCTCTCACAGGGACATCCAGGCTCCACATCATTTCAGCGTGCATATTTATCGCTTTCCCCCCGCAAGACATGTATTTGAATTTACTCTTGGTAAACATAACCACAGGAGATGCGAATATGTGCTGGGGAAGCATAAATAACTCCACACAGATAGACACACACACACGGACAGCAAACACAGACACGGTTCACCAAGGGAAACCAAGAAGTGCAGAGCACGCCCTGAGGCTGCCACCAGTCCCAATGGCTTTGTTCTCATCCACCAAGCCAAGAGGATTTCTCCTGCTCTTGCTTTGCAGCAGCTGGTGGGAGAATAAAGCTGGGGAGGAGGAGTCTAAAGTTGCAAATATTCCATGAAAGCATCATGGTAAGTCCTGGCTCTGCAGTTTCCTGCAATCATCTCCGAGGAATGGTTCCAGTTGTAGGAAGTTGCAAGTCTTTCACAGTGTGAAAGGGTGGAGGGGCATGGGGACCACCATGAGGGAGGAGCAGCAGGTCATCTTGCAATGTCCCAGTTGCAGCCAGCCGATAAACCTTCATGTGGGAACATCCGGGCTAGATGTTCCATCTAGGTCCTCTTCTGCCCTCTCTAAGGTGCTGATTCTTCTTTAGCTGAGAATAGTCTTCAACGGGACATCATGCGAACAAACTCTGCAACCAACAAGAAAAGACTGCCTTGAAGCAGAAGGCATCCATGGTCCCCAACCCAGCTCTCATTCCCTGGAGATAGCGTGCAGCCAGGGTGAAACTGATAGTCCACATAGGGCCAGGAGGTCTGTGCTGCTCCATGAC